TTAATATTTTATTAATATTTTAATTAATTTAAAATTTAAAAATATATTAAAAAATGTGGGACCCACAGTGCCATGTAGGCAACTAACAGAAAGATCTGACGGAAACCCTAACGGCGGAACCACATTGTAACAAATTTAGAAGACCGGGGTATGTGATTGTTAAAATTGAAAAGATAGGGACTAACATGCCTTTAAGGGTGTAACTACATGGTACTAAACTGTAATTAACCTTTATTTCTTTTAGTGGACGTGGAGCCTATATAAGCTTAAAAAATATTCAATATTTGCCACATAAGCATTTACCAGCAATTTGTAGGATTTATGTGAGTTTATGTATGCAATTTGTACAATTCATTATTTTTCTCTTTTTAGAGAAAAATGCAACCTTCTAGATATAGGTAAGTCGTTTCCAACCAAAAAAAAAAAAGAGATATAGGTAGGTCGTTTCCAACAAAAAAAAAAAGAGAAATAGGTAGGTCGTCTTTTAAATCTAGAAAATCCTCCACTTTTTGTGGGTTTATATATTCTTTGCCTTATTTAAACATTTATATATATAGCAAAATTCCATTTCATGTATCGATTAACATGTTTTTAAACTGCAGGCGTGAATCCGAATTTATTCATAAAATCACTGAAATGATTTTACAAAAATTAAACCGTGCCTATTTGACATATGAGACGAACTATCCACTTGAAATTGATTCTCGAATACAAGAAATCAATGATCTTTTAGGTGTAGGAGTAGCTGATGTTCGCATGGTAGGTATATGTGGGACTGGAGGAATGGGTAAGACAACACTTGCTAAAGCTGTTTATAATTCAGTTGCCCATAAATTTGAAGGTTCCTGCTTTTTGGAAAATGTTAGAGAAAAATCAAAGGCACCAGGAGGCTTAGTCCAACTACAAAAGATTCTTCTTCATAACATTCTAGGGCTGAAAATGTCAAGGGTAACAAATGTTGATTCAGAACTCAATATCATTAAGGGTAGGTTGTGCTACAAAAGGGTTCTCCTAATTCTTGATGATGCGGATCAATTGGACCAGTTAAAATGCTTAGCTGGAAGCTCTGATTGGTTTGGTGTGGGCAGTAGAATTATCATAACAACAAGGGTTGAGCATTTGCTGCTTGCTCATGGAGTCGACTTCACATACCAAGTGAAGGAGTTAGAATCTGATGAAGCTTTGGAGCTCTTCAGTTCTAATGCCTTCCCAACAAGTAGACTTCCTGCTGATTATGAAGAACTCGCAAGTAGTTTCTTACGCTATGCTCAAGGGAATCCATTAGCCCTCACAGCTATGGGTGCACTTTTGTATGGGAAAAATATAGATGAATGGCTATCTATATTAGAAAGTTACAAAGGAGCTCCTGCCTCAAATATTCATGAAATCCTCAAAATAACTAAAAAGGAGCTAGAACATCCAGTGAAAAGACCCGAAGAAAATGTCCTCACCAATGTTCAAGAAGAACATGCTGGGGTGCATGACTTGCAAAGCACGGTACGCATATATGCTCATACAAATCTATATAAATGTACATATATGTATCTATTAATTTTTCTATTAACTTGTGAATGCAATTGTTTGTCATACTATAGGGAGTAAATAAAGCTGAAAGCAATGAACTGAAGCTTGAACAAAATGACACAATCTCTGGTACTCCAGAAGTAGAAAGACTTCATCAAGGCAAATTTTCTGAGACTTACTACGAAGTTACAGTGAGTGGAACGCATATACAAACATATATACGTAGAGCTTTAATTTTTTATATAATAATTTGTTAAAGCCATGGTTTTTTCATAAATAGGGACAAAATGAAGATGAAAACACTGAAAACTTGGTTGAAGGAGATAAGACATTCTCTAGTACTCAAGAAGAAGACTTGCTTCAAGGAAAAACTCCTGGAACTGACGACGCATATGTAAGTATAATACATGTATATAGATATTTTATACGTACCTATGCATTGTCTTACACAATCAAAACCATTTTACCTTTTTATATTTTACTTGGTTAATATAATTATTGTTTTCATAAAATAGGCACTAAACAATATGGCCACTGAACCAGTAGCCTCTTCGTCTTCTCCTTCCACCTATCCTTGGAAATATGATGTATTTCTTAGTTTTAGAGGTGAGGATACACGCGTCAGCTTTACAGACCATCTGTACAGCAGTTTGCTACGCAGGGGAATTAACACCTTCATGGATGATGATCAACTCGAACGAGGACAAGATATATCAAAAGAGATTTGTCAAGTAATTAAAGAGTCAAGGATTTCTATCATCATATTATCTGAAAACTATGCCTCGTCAACTTGGTGCTTGGAAGAGCTTGCTACGATCATTGAATATAAGAATTCACAGGACCAAATTGTTATCCCGGTTTATTACAAAGTGGACCCCGCAGATGTAAGAACGCAAAGGGGCCCGTTTGGTGAAGCATTTGCTGGGTATGAATACAGATTCAACGATAATTTAGAGAAGGTACAGAGATGGAGGGCGGCTCTTACGGAAGCAGGAAGTTTGGCTGGGATGCTTTTGAACCGTGATGGGTAATTCTCTGACCACGTATTGACTATATATATTTGAGGATTTTCCTTTTTTTTTTAATGTTCTTTAACATAGTAGTAAATTAATAAATTTAACAATGTTGATACTAGAGAATCATGTGACTAAATGTTATGTACTAGACCAAATGAGCATTAGTTACATGTTAGATTTTTTTTAGGGTCAATTACAAATAATCCTCGAACTATAGGTTTATTTTCAGATTCATACACAAACTATCAATTTTTTATAATGAAAGAATACCCTAAGTTTTATAAACCCTGCAACGTACTCAGTTCATGTTAGTAAGTTTGTTAAATGCCTACATGTTAGTAAGTTCATATGAGGACTAGTTTGACTTTTTTTTGTTTTCTTTACTGTTAATTTTTTTTTTCTGTATTGTTATATAATTTTATTATTGTTTCAAGATATTTTATAAGCTTAAAAAAATTCATTATTTGCCACATAAGAAAATGAGGATGAGTATTCAACGAGTGTAAGAGCGTTTAGAAATTAAAAGAACCGAGTTTCGAACTAGAGGGAGAGGTTTAGAAATTAGAGGAACCAAGTTTGGAACTAGATGAAGAGGCTTAGAAAATAAGAATAAGAAAGATTTATAGCAGGGAAAATCTTACGTTAAACATAGAGGATTGAAAGGGTTTCACAATTTCCAATATCTTGTAAACAAACTCAATGTTTAGGAAACTGAAATACCCTCTAGAAAATACGAAGTCGCCAAGCGCAAATATTAGATAAATAATATAATAAATATATAATACATATTCTATAAGAGCATCCACAATCATGCTCTCTATTTTTTAGTTAAATTTTAGCTAAAAACATATAAAAGTTATTTTATGAGCTCTCTATAAAATTTAAACTTCAATCATGCTCTCTAGTTTAAGGAGTCATTAATGCTATAACTCTTTTTTAATTGGTCCATCTTTATTAAAAAATAATTAACATTAATTAAAGGTTTGAAATACTCATTAAATAAAGTAGCATTAAATTATAGGGAGCCACTAAGAGTCCTTTCTCTCTTCTCAGATTTAGGAGCTCCTAGTGGTCTATCTATTTTAGGAGGTGGATAAGGAGCATGGTTGGAGTTGTATTTTTCCAAATCCTCCCTAAAATTT